CACACCGGAGGGCATCAGTCCATTGTCGGACAAGATTCAAGCCATCCAAGAGTGGCCGGAGCCGCGAAGCGTCACGGATGTCCATTCGTTCCTTGGCCTTGCCGGCTACTACCAACGTCTTATCGAGGGATACTCGAAGATCGCGGCCCACTTGACCAAGCTTCAATGCGAGAATCGACCGTTTGACTTCGGAGAGGATGCACGAGAATCATTTTTGGCTCTCAAAGCCGCGCTATTATCTGCGGAGGTCTTGCGCATATCCGACCCGCTACTGCCAACGCTCGTCACTACGGATGCGCACGACTATGGCATTGGTGCTGTCCTCTAACAACACGATGGTGTGGACTGGCAGCACCCGGTCGAGTACTTCGGCAAGAAAGTGCCCATCGTGCACTCTATTGATGATGCATGCAAGAAGGAGCTCCTAGCCTTCGTCCACGCGCTCAAGCGGTGGCGGCACTTCCTCCTTGGTCGAAGTCAATTCCGAAGGGTAACGGACAACAATCCGTTGGTCTTCTACAAGACCCAAGACACCGTCAATAGCACCATTGCCCGTTGGATGGCTTTCATCGACCAATTCGACTTCTTCCCCGATCACATTCCGGGGAAGTCTAACCGTTTTGCGGATGCTCTTTCACGACGTTCGGATCATTGTACCGCAGTCTATTCGACCTTCGAGATCGACGACGACCTACCGACCCCGAGTTTCGCGACAAGTGCACGAATTGCTCCTTTCCTAATCCGACACCTTCTCACTACCGAATCCAAGAGGGGTACTTGCTTGTCCACACGTGGGGGAAGGACCTTTTTTGCATACCGAGTGACTCTCACTTGCGTACACAGCCTCTTGGCGACTTCCACGATGCTCCTGCCATCGGACACTTTGGAGTCAATCTCACGATTGGCCGAGTTCGCGAGCACTTTTGGTGGCCCGGCCTTCTCGGCGCCGTCACATGCTATTGCGAGTCATGCGAGGTTTGTCGACGCTCCAAATCCCGCAACCATCGACCGTATGGCGAGTTGCGACCATTACCGGTCCCCTTGCGCCGAAGGGAAGCGATTGCCATGGACATTATGGGGCCGTTCCCCAAGCACAAGACCGGTGTGGATGGGATTCTCACGGTGGTCGACTGACTCACCAAGTTCACCATGTTTTTGCCTTGCCGCTATCATGCCAAGGCACCAGAGTTGCCGCAGTTCTTTACGCCGGTTGGATTCGAACCAAGGGTTACCCCAAGGAAATTGTATGTGACCGCGACACTCGGTTCATGTCCGATTTTTGGTTGGCCCTCATCAAACGATGGGGCTCATCTCTCAAGCCAAGTTCGGCTCGCCACCCCGAAACCAATGGCCAAGCGGAGAGGGCCCATCACACCGCACAGGTTCTCCTTCACATTCTCATCGACCACATGGCTAAGACGCAGCAACTCATGAGCAAACAGGCCAATCGCCAGCGTCTTCCTTGTCCATTCCGCGCCGGCGATCCCGTTTGGGTTTCCGCCGCGGAGTTCAGCCTCGGACAAGATATCTCTCGCCAGCTCCTCCCGAAATGGATGGGGCCCTGGCCGATCATGGCACCCGCTGGGGATGTACCCGAAAGACCCTTCCTTCATCATTCAGGTGTCCGCCCACTTGCCCGTCTACCCGATCTTTCGTTGCTCCAAGTTGGCTCTTTACACGCCAGTGGAACATGACGATTTTCCGGGGCGACGATCGCAAGACCCACCCTCTATGGACGGTTTTCAAGAGGTCGGCGACATCATCTCCCAACAACGCTACGGCAACAGGCCGACCGAATACGTGGTACACTTTGCGTACTGCACCCACAAAGTTGACCGTTGGTTGACCCGTGCGGAACTCCAAGCAACAACTCCAGATGTTCTCGCACGCTATGAACGCAAGATGCAAGGCAAGTCGGTATCTTCGGCTCCACGTCGCACCCGCGTCCAGGTTCCACCCTCAGATCGCCAGCTTCGCCCTCGACCCGGCTTGACTTCGTAAGGAGGGGGTGATGCTGCGCCTGCAACATGCTGCGCCTGAAACGAGGGCCATTTTCAGGCCCTCATAAGATCGACCTTCCCTGAAACTTAGGCACCAGACCAGGGTTTTAGCACAGGCCATTTCGGGCCTGTTTTCAAAACAACCTTTGTTTGAGCTCCAACGCCAGGGTCTGGCACGTTTTGGCATGGGCAAGAGCAGCCTCCTCGACGGGCCAACACTATATAAGACTGGCCCGCCCTGCAGGCTGCAGGTAGTTCATAGGAACTTCCCAGGCACTTCACGTGCAGGAGGCAGGAGAGAGCCTTCAGCATTCGGCAGCAGCACTCTGGAGGAGCGCTGCAGTAGTAGTAGTAGCGTTAGCAGTAGTCTTCAGCGCTGGGCGCTAGTAGGAGCTAGAGTAGCACTGGAGAGAGAGAGAGAGAATTGGCGGAGGCCAGGGAAACTTACCTGCAGCGCCATAGCTCCAGCTTCGTCTTCGAGGTACCTGCAGCATGGCGCCATCTTCGGAGGTTAGTACTTGGCTCGTAAAATAGAGAGAGAGTTCTTCTTCTTCCTCCTCTCAGTCCACCATCTCTTCCTCACCCTCTCGCTATCTGACTTCTCGGCAGCAGCAGACTATGGACGAGGGTGAGAGAGGTTACTAGCAGGAAATACAGGCAGAGGTTACAGTGGGCATGCTGCCCAGGATCTGATACGACATTTCTGAATCAGGCATTGATTGGACATCGGTGTATCAGGATGTACACTGCTTGTTGAGATTCCACTAACACCGCATTGTCCATTCAGTCCTTTTCATCACCTTGCAGATCCTTGGTTGTACATACGTTGCCCAACTGGGCATGTCTCTCTCTCTCTCTCTCTCTCTCTCTCTCTCTCTCTCTCTCTCTCTCTCTCTCTCTCTCTCTCTCTCTC